CCACATCCTAATCCCCACAACCTGTGAATGTGTTAGGTTACATGGCAAGGGGGTATTACGGTAGCTAATCAGCTAACTTTAAAAGAGGGAGATTAGGAAATTGGTCCAGTTTGTGCAGATGGCTTCAATATAATCATGACAGTCTTTATAAGTGAAAGAAGGAGGCAGGGGACTCAGATTCAGAGTTGATGGGACATGAGAAAGTTTCTATTAGCCAATGCTGGCTTTGAAGGTGGAAAGGCATCAGGAGCCAAGGAATGTGGGCAGCCTCTAGAAGCCAGAGGAGGCGAGGAAATGGATTCTTCCCTAGAGCCTCCAGAAGGAACACAGCCCTGCTGACACCTTGGTTTTAGCCTAGTGAGACCCATTTTGGACTTCTGACCTCCAGAATTGTAAGAGGACACATCTGTATTGTTTTAAGCCACTAAGTTCATGGTATTTTGTTAGAATGGCAATAGGAAACTAACATGGGATGGCTATGACCCCCTCCTGACTGGTCTGCCTATACCTACCTTTGCCTTGCTCCAATCTGTTCCTTACAATGCAGCCAAAATGATGTTTCCAAGACCCTTATCTAACCAAACCACATCTTTTTAAAAGATTTTACTTATTTATTTGAGAAAGAGAGAGAGAGAGAGCATGAGCAGGGGGAGGGGCAGAGGGAGAAGCAGACTCCCTGCTGAGCAGGGAGCCTGACACGGGGCTCGATTCCAGGACCCCGGGATCATGACCTGAGCCGAAGGCAGATAGACACTTAACCAACTGAGCCACCCAGGTGCCCCAAAACCACCTCTCTTAATACAACTCTTCCCCCTGGTCTTCAAATGTGCCCCAGGACCTTTGAACCTGCTGTCCTGTTTGTTTAAAAGGTGTCATGGTCCCCTGCGTAACATTTAGTTAGCCTTCATAAATTGGTGCAGAGATGAAAATGCCTTTTCGTCCAGGCAGGCTGCCCTGATCCTTGGTCTGGATCAGGTTCTCTGGGCAACTGCCCTCAGAGCACATTGCACACCTCTGCAGTATTTGTGGGTTTTAAAGCAAATACCTGTGTTTATCTGCCTTGGGATGTATTGCCTGTCTTTGCCCAGCAGGCTATAAGCTTCCCAAGGGCAGGGACAATGTCCGTCTTACCTTGTCTTGCCAGCATCTGGCACATAGGAAACACTCAGTAAATGGCGACATTTATCACTGTTTTATTTCTGTATTCTCACCATTGTAGTCACTCTGTAGTTGGCAGTCCTCTTTAAAACGTGGTGCCCCTGCCATGACCTAGTCCTCCAGGTGGCAAGAGCATCGCAAAATGGAAGCTGAATATGCTGTCCCTGCTTATGGGGGGCATCCCATTTCTAGTAATGCAGCTGAAATCTCTGTTCCTGTGTCACCAACCACAGTACACTCAGCTTCAGCTGAGCTTGAGGCCACCCACCCGCACGCCCCAATATTTGCTTCCATCAGAACATCTGTCAAGCTAGCTTTCCCTGTCCTGTTTCTGTCCGGTTGCTCCTTGTCACCTAAACGTTGAACTTCCCTCTCGTCCCTGTGGGGTTCTGTCGTCTGGCGTTGGGGTCTTTGTTCTAACCCGTCTAACTCTTCCTCAGTCCCCATTCAGCCGTCCGCCATGTTAACCAGCCCTCTCAGCCCCATGTCAGCTGCACCCCTGAGCAATGCGCTCCTGTGCCTGCCTCCAAGTCCTGGGTGACAACGTAGAGCAGGGCAGGGCTAAGCACATGGCCCTGGAAGTGTTGCCAGAGACCCCCGGGGCCTGACACCCATCGCAGGGTGTTGAATCAGCAACAAAAACTGCCTGGGTCAAGTTCTGGCTTTACCTAGCTTTTGTGGCTGAGAACTTGGCAATAACAGTATATTCGTTTCTTAGGGCCACTGTAATGAAATAGCACAAACTTGGGGGCTTGAAACAACAGACATTTCTGCTTGTACAGGTTTGGAGGTTAGAAGTCCAAAACCAAGGCGCCCGCAGCGCACACTGCGCCTGAAGCCTCCAGTGGAGGATCCTTCCTTGCCTCTTCTAGCTCCTGGTGGCTCCTTGGCTGATGGTGGCATAACCCCAACCTCTGCCACATGGTCTTCCTCTCTGTGTGTATCCGCGTGTCCTCTCCTCTTTTTATAAGGATATCCGTCATTGAATTTAGGGCCCGCCCTACTCCAGTATGACTTCATTTTAACTAATTACATCTGCAAGGACCCCATGTCCAAATAAGGCCATATTCTGAAGTTCTGGGTGGACAGGAATTCGGTGGGGGGACACTATTCAACCCACTATAGGTAGCAATACTTTCTCCTAACCCCTTTGTGAGAGCCCAGGAAGATAGCGTGGGGCGGGGCTTCTCAAACAGTAAAGTGCACCGAACCACCTGGAGATCTTGTTGAAGGGCTGACTCAGATTCTGCCAGCCTGGGGTGGGTCTGCATTTCTCACAAGCTCCCAGGCGATGCCCTTGCTGCTCCTCCATGCTTTGAACAGCAAGGATGTAGGTGAGAGAAAGTGCTTTTAAAAACAGGTTTCTGTAGGCTTATCCATTTCTTTTGTAATGAGCTTTTCTGAAGCTCCCCGGTTTCCCCACCCACCTGGCTGTCCTGCAAACTGCAGAAGGTAGAATATAAGTTTTCCTTTGGGCTTCCCCCCCCGCCCCCGCCAAAAGCAGACTCAGAGACAAGGACTGGGATTTAGGTAGTTTTGAAGGAGTGAGGTGGTCATGTGAAGCACACATTTGGAAGTAGGGAACAAGAAAAGGAAGAGAAGCCAACAAAGAGAGAGCTAAATAGCACGTGGCCCTGGGGGCAACAGGGGCCCCATCCGGATGGGGATTGGCTGACGGGATGACTGGAATGGGGTAGGGGGCAAGGGCATTTTCCCAGTGATTCCCATCCCCCCCCCACCCCGCCCCGTGGCCCTGAGGGTCGGGTTCCTGTGTCCAGCTGGGCAAGCTCCCCAGGCTGCAGGCACTGGAGGTCAGATGCTCAGACACGCTGGAAACAGCCTTCTCCTGCAGCTGCAGGTGACCTCAGCTAGGCCGTGGGGGAGGGCGGGATCATCATCTTCGGCTCCAGAAGCCTTCCAGGTTTGCATGTCACTTGTGTCTCTACCATTCTATTTTGAGTGCATGAGCTGCCCAAGTGAGCTCTCACTTATAGTTAAGATTATGACTGTCACCCAGCCTCAGCGGACACCTTGCCCACAAGGGTGTCATGGAAGAATCTGTCGATGGCCTGCCGAAACCCATATGTGCCTCCCCTCCCCTCCCGGGCCCTGCTTTTGCGTGGGTACAATCCTTTACCCTGTGGGTATGTGGTGTGAGGTAGTGGAATTATGCTTCAGAGTCCCCTTAGGAAGGGAATACTTCCCTCTCTCACAGTCCCTACCTTCACCTAATCCAATCAATCCCCGCCCTTGACATTCACTGTCACATTTCACGCACACCACAACCTTACAAGCTAGTTGCTATGATTGTCTTCATTTTATAGCCAAGGAAACTGAAGGCCAGAAAAGCTAAGTCACTTGCTCAAGGTCACTCAGTAAGTGGCAGAAGTGGGATCCAAATACGGTCTCTCTGATTCACTGTGTTCTGTGGATTCCATAGGTGAAACTAGGTAGCAGGCCCCAATGAGATTTAAATATAAATGTAAAGTACACTTCTCTAACAGTCTGTCAAATGAGAACAGTGAGAAGAATCACTTTTATTTGTACACAACTTTTTAAAAAAGATTTTATTTATTTAGTTTTGTGAGAAAGAGAGAACGAGCCGGGGGGGCAGTGGAAGAGGGAGAAGCAGACTCCCCGCTGAGGGAGTCCAATGTGGGACTCGATCCCGGGCACCCTGTACACAACTTCTAAGTCTTAGTATAATCCGATGGGTCCATTAGGATGTGACTCTTCATTTTGAAAAATAAGTTACTGCAAGTAACATACATTTATTCCCTTTTATAAGTTAGTGTCTATTTACTTTCTTCTGGGATAGATGCATTTTTCTTAGGTAATTGGTCAATGAATAGATCCAGACTCTAATAAGCAAATGATGCCATGGAGAAATGAAATAAATATTCAGTGATTCAAAATCATTAGTTTAAAAATTTTCACCAAAGAATTTCCTCAACCAGTGATTTTTCACAGTGCATCAAATACAGGATTCCACTCCCACACACATTTCAGGAATACACTCACAAAATAAGAGAGCTCCACCCTCCTGTGTGTTTGGGGCCATTTTCCTCCCCTTTCCAGGCAGCGAACTCCCTGAGAGTGGGGATGGTGGAGATTCTTTCCCACATCGATTTCCCTGCACATCACATGGACAGGGCCATAGGTATGAGCACAGAGAGGTTTTGAACCCCTGAGTTTGGGTAAGCCAGCCCTTGGAAAATGAGCCCATAAGCTCTCAGAGAAGAAGGAAAAGAGAGAATGTGGGGTGGGAAATGTGAGCTTTTCTGCATTTCCTCACCTCTGGCTTCTTTCTTTCTTTTTGCACACTTGATCACTCACTGCAGAGAACGCGGAAAAGAAGAGGCCCCACTCTCTGCCTTGAAGGAGCGGACAGTCCAGTTAGAGAGACCAGTGGAACACACTGGGAAGAATTCATGTACACTACAAGAGAGCTGAAGAACAGTGCGAGAGCAAGAGGCTCTGATGGAAGTGCTGAAGGGGCTCCAGGGAACGGAGAGATAAGTGTGGGCTGAGAGCAAAGTAGATGGCGTGAAAAGAGCACCGGGCTGGGAGTCAGGAGACCTGGGTTCTAGCTCAGTTCATCGCTCAGTCCTCTGGGTCACCCTGCACAGTCACTCCTCTCTCGCAGCGCCACCTTCCACCAGCTTGCAGTGTAGCAAGGGACAGGGGGCCAGAACTCCTACAGATGCATCTGATACCGCAGGATCAAAGAGGTGCTGTCATGCACCTGGCCAACATCTCCTGAGCGCCGTGCCGGGCACTGGGAGGCCCAAGTCAAGCAGCCGGGCCGAGACAGCTGTAGGTCCCCAAACCCACCCGCTTACCCTTGCTTCTGCACCTTTGCTTGTGCTGTTCCATCCTCCAGCATCACTGGCTTCGTTTTATCCACCTGGAAAACGCTTGACCCTTCAAACACCTGGTCAGGAATCAACTCCTCTGGGAAGACTTCCATCGGAGTTCGGGCCGCTATAACGGAATACCAGAGGCTGCACGGCGTAAACAACGAATTTTGTCCCTCATAGTTCTGGAGGCTGGAAGTCTGAGGTCAGAGCACCGTCGTGGGCCAAGTCTTGAGGACTCTGTCCCCAGTTTGCAGGTGGCCATCTTCTTGTTGCATCCTCACATGGCAGAGAGGAGGGAGAGACAGGAAGCAAGCTCCCTCTTGTCTCTTCTTGTAAGGACGCTAATCCCCTCATGAGGGCTCCATTCTTGTGAACGCATCGCCTCCCAAAGGCTTTACTTCCTAATACCATTATATGAGGGGTTATGATTTCAAAATATGAATTTGGGGAGAACAAAACCTTCGGTCCATAATGACTTCCAAGCTCCCTTTCTACCCTCATGCCCCAGTGAGACTACTTACCTCCCCTTCTGAGCTCCTAACACTGAGTTCTATCAGTGTCCCCTTACACTGGACTGAAATGGTCTCTGGGCCTCCCACCTAGCTCTCCAACTCAACTGCAAGCCCCCCGAGGACAGGAACCAAGAGTTATCTTTGTACCCCATAGTGCCATAGTGATGGGCCTAGAGCAGTAGCTCCTTCAGTGAATGTCGAATCTCACAGAATCAAAATCAAACTGAAAATAGGATCTTCAGCTCCATTAGACAGTCACCCTTGGTAGAGAGGGAGCTGGGAAGCATGACCAGCTGGTGGGCTTTGCTAACTGTGGCAGACCAAGAGGTTCTGGGTTGAAAACCTAAACTCCAGAGGGGCCCATTTTCAAAACCAGGACCAGCCATAGTTTGGCCGCTGCAAAGCCCACTGGGCTGAAGATCCCCATTGTCTTAGTTCAGGCTGCTACGACAAAAAGACCGTAGACTGGGTGCCTAACAAACATTTCTTTCCCAGAGTTCTGGAGCTGGGAAGTCCAAGATCAAGGTGCTGGCAGTTCAGGCCTTCTCCACACTGTATCACCACATGGCAGAGAGCAGGGGGAGGGAGACAAGAAACAAACTCTCTCCTGCCTCTTCTTATAAGGGCACTAATCCCATCATGATGGGTCCACCCTCATGACCTAATCACCTCCCAAAGGCCCCATCTCCCAATATCATCACATTGAGGACTAGAGTTTTAACGTATGAATTGCAGGAGAGACACAAACATGCAGTCCATAGCACCCATCATGTTGCACATAGGCAAGCCCCCCCACCCCAAAATTGTGCCATGCAGTGGCCTAGCACCACAGACGAGCAGAGGGATGAGGTTGACCGGCCCTTGGTGGAGTGGCCTTCAGCTTCTGCTGTCTGTCTCCCTTATATTCAACCCCTGCTCTGTGCAGAGGGAGGAAGCAGAGGAAAATAAAAATAGAAAGATCATGAACAGAAGAGAAGGTATAGTCTACACACTTTCAGAACCTGCAAAATAAACAGAACACTCCAGAACTCAGGGTCCCTTTGATTGGTTAGGGGAGAAGTCCAGGCTAATGAGGACAACACTGTGGACCCAGCATGGACCCAACCAGTGTGCTTTCCACTGTTTTCCAGCCACAGGCTTTACTTTTCAGGGCCTTGTACATAAGCACAGGGGATAGCTTGTGACAGCTCAGCGGCAGCCCAGCGATTTCCACCACTAGAGCAGAAATCTGGGCATACGGGACAACACAGTCACCATGTTTTGGTCCCACCTTTCTGTGCTATCTTGGGAGTGAGGCAAATGTGACCCTTCCCAACCGGAGACGTCATAAACACCACAGGTCAGCCCTCTGGATTCCTCTAGAGGCCAGCTGGGGTCAGTTCAGCTGGGATAAGGAGGAAGAGCAGAGAAGAGAGCTCCGATGGAGGCCTGGCAGGAAAGACACCCCCCACTCCAAGAGAGACACCATGACATTGTGGCCAGGGCCAGAGACCAGGGCAGGGATAGGGAGAGGGGTCCGGAACAGCACCCTTCTGCACACAATCACTACCCCATCTTCACAATGCAGGAAGGCCCGGGTCAGCATCAAAGCCTGTGACGGGGACAACAAGCAGGTGAGAGAGGGAGCAAACATCTGGGATAAGCTTCTAGAGCAGTGTCTTTGCAAGCGCCGTGGCTTGTTTATTAGTATGACTTTCCATGCCCACTGCCACCCTGGAGCTCAGGGCCCTAGAGTTGGCCTGTGGATAGGATCTGGGCTTAATCTGCAATAGTCTGGGGGCAGCCTCAGTCTGTGGCCGGCAGCCCAGCGCAGGCCCCATCTCCAAGGCCAGGCTGCGTGGGCCCACAGGCTCAGCTTCATTAACACCAAGCTCTGACCGACCAGAGTGACCAACCCTAGGCTCAATCTCCAGGAACAGCTTCATTTAAATCTTTGTCAGATGCCAGTAAACTGCACACTAATGAAATCCACAGATGAGCTAAAACTGGACTGTTCAGAATCAGCCAAGACTGAGACTGAGTCTCCAGAGGGCCTGAGAGGTTAGAAATACGGTGAGGAAATAACCCAGTGAAATTCGGCCTGGACAGGAGCCAGCTAACCTCGTGTGCACACTGCCAGGTTCTCCCACAGCTATCGGGAGGCGGGACGGTGTGGAGAGCAACAGGGCTCAGGGAGACAGAAGGGTGGGATGTGGCAGGGGTTTGGGGTAGGTGGCCCCACCCCAGTCATTTGGGGGTAAGTCTGTAGAGACAGCACATGGCAGCAGGGAGCAAGCTCCTGCCCATATGGACCGAAGGGATTCTGAGGAGGCCCAGGTCGACCAAGGGGTTCCAGGGGGAGCAGAGCTTTAGGGGCGCTGGGCAGGAAGGATATTTTGGGTGACTCATGCTTGGGATAGTTTTGCATCAGGAATACCAAGATCTCTGGTACCTGCCTGTCCCCTGGGGAGCCCCACAGCTAGCCTAGACCCCAGGAAGAACTTAAGGCAGAAGATGGCAGTGATAAAGCCTCTAGAGTCAGACAGACCTGGGTCCCACTCCTAGCCCTGTTCTGAACTTGGAGACTAGTTATCTAACTTCCTTCAGCTTCAGTTTCATCTGTAAAATGGGATGATATTTGACCTTCCTCACCGAGTGTCCCGAGGACAAATTAACATAATGCTTGTGGGGGCGCCTGGGTGGTTGAGTTGGTTAAGCGTCCGACTCTCGGTTTCGGTTCACATCAAGATCTCAGGGTCATGAGATTGAGCCCTGGGATGGGCTCTATGCTGGGCATGGAGCCTGCTTAAGATTCTCTCTCTCCCTCTGCCCCTCCCCCCTCTCTCTCTAAAAAAAGAAAGATAATGCTTGTGAAGTGATAAGCACAGGTCTTAGGACCCAGGGTCAGTCAAGAAGAGGAGGTGGAGGATACCAAGATTCTGCTGCGAGAGCCCTCACCATGGTGTCCTTCCATATTTCTTCCACTGACAGCCTGTCCCCTGGGGCTCCAGACCAACCCATTCTCTCCTTAGCTTGAAGATAACTGCCCCCTCCAAACGCTGCTCTCTGCCAAGCCTCAGTTGCTGAAAAAACGGACACTGCCACATTCATGGCCGATCATAGTTGAATCTCTTACTTCATTCATAACTCCTGCATTCATAGAGTCCACCAGACCTTTAGCTAACACCCGAATTTTGAACTTCGAGCTTTTCCTCAAAGATTCACAAAACAAGTCCTAGTGTGTCGCTTGGGAGTAACAGACAATATCTAAATGTCTGGGCTTATTGACTTCGGTTGATGTGGCCCAGTGAGGACCAAGTCTGTGGATTCCATCCCAGTATGGACCACTTGCTTTCATTCTAGCCCTAGCCATGGACTAAGCCCTAATTGAACCCTAACTCTGGCCTTAACCTGAGCTTCCAACTTTCGTCTGCCTGCGTCAGATGGAGTATGAGAAAGCCTCAAGCCAAAGCCATCCTCAGTGATGGAAAAACAACCTAAAGACATCTCATGGGAAAGGTACTGGCTTATTAGTTTGTTCTCTCCCATTTATGAGCCCTCACTGAACCTGAAGTTGCACAAAATAATCTTCCCCAAAGAACGATAGAGCCTTGGAACCTTCCCTCTGGGCACTTGTAGTCCCTAGGTGGTCACGACAACAGCTAGGAGTGCAAAGACAATGCGTTAATGGATAAGGTGTTCTCTCGTGTTGGATCAAGACTCAGGGACCTGAAGGGGTTGATGCCACAGTGAGGATGATCCTGTGGGGGGTGCCCGGGCTGAGCTGGGTGTAGAAAATATGTTGCTGCTCTCTTTATTATTTCTTTCTTTCTTTTGAGAGCGAGCAGGAGGAGGGGCAGAGGGAGAGGAAGAGAGAGAATCCCAGGCAGGTTTCATGACCAGTGTGAGCCCAACACGGAGCTCGATCTCACAACCCTGAGACCATAACCTGAGCCAAAATCAAGAGTCAGACGCTCAACCATCTGAGCCACCCAGGCGCCCCTGTTGCTGCTCTCTTATAGGCCCATGAAGTCTTTCTCCTTTCTCAGTGCACTCGGGTCATGCCAACCTCCAACAAGAGGGCCAGAGGTAGGCCTGCTGGTAAGACCCACTGCCTGGGAACTTGGCCCAGCCCCCAGGAGAGAGACTTGGCCTCCATCTGGGCTGTCCCTTACCATGAGCAGTCCCAGCATGAGGCTAGAAAGTGTCCTGTTGGATTTCCCAGGCCAGTTCCACTTTCCAATATGCAGGCCCTTGGTCAGACCATGTGTCCAGAGTTCTGGGCCAGAACATGTGTTCCCCATAAACAAGAAGCCTAGAAATGAAATGTGAAGCAGTTGGCTCCAGCCAGCTCTTGTCACCTCAGTTATTCCAATGTCCCCCTCAGTGTCAAGTCTTCTCCAGCCAGCTGCAACCGGCTATGTTCTTGCTCATAACTTCTTTTAAATGAGTCCTTATGTCTAACTATTTCAGAGTCAATCCTGGCTCCCACCTGCTGCCTAAGGAGCTGTGTCTCACCCTCAGGTTGGGAGCTCCTATGGGCAGGGCCTACGCTTTCCTCCTCTTTGTGCACCTCCCAGATGCTCTTTGTTGAGTGCTTACTACGTAGTAGGCTCTGA